CCTTTGGCTATTAGGTTTTAGGTCATTGCTAGTAGGTTGGAAGCCATGCTATTGGATTCCTTTTGCTAGAAGGTCGGAGGTCATTGCTAGTAGGTTGGAGGCCATCGCTATCAGGTTCCTTTTTCTACTAGGTTGGAGGTCATTGCCAGTATGTTGGAAGCCATGCAGTTGGGTTCCTTTTGCTACTAGGCTGGAGGTCATTGCTTAGTAGGTTGGAGGCCATGCTATTAGGTTTCTTTTGCTAGTAGGTTGGAGGTCATTGCGAGTAGGTTGGAGGCCATCACTATTAGGTTCCTTTGCTATTAGGTTGGAGGTCATTGCTAGTAGGTTGGAAGCCATGCTATTGGGTCGGAGGTCATTGCTAGTAGTTTGGAGGCCATCGATATTTGGTTCCTTGTGCTATTAGGTTGGAGGTCATTGCTAGTAGGTTGGAAGCCATGCTGTTGGGTTCCTTTTGCTACTAGGTCGGAGGTCATTGCTAATAGGTTGGAGGCCATGCTATTGGGTTCCTTTTGCTATTAGGTTGGAGGTCATTGCTAGTAGGTTGGAAGCCATCGCTATTAGGTTTTTTTTGCTAATAGTGATTGGAGGTCATTGCTAGTAGGTTGGAGGCCATCGCTATTAGGTTCCTTTTCTATTAGGTTGGAAGCCATCCCTATTGGAGGCCACCGCTTCAGGTTCATTGTGCTATTAGGTTGGAGGCGATTGCTAGTAGGTTGGAGGCCATCGCTACAAGGTCCTCCTTCATCCACTTTTATATTTTTTGTTTTTGTATTTCCATGAAGATCAATGACAGGCAGCAGATGTCGTGTTGTTCCCACCGAGCCGGGCTCTTCTCATCGGCCATGCCGAAGCGATTTTCACCACACGATCACGGATGCGGAGGGACAACATGGTGCAGGTGAAGCCTTCAAGTAGTAACAAGTGCCTTACTAGTAGTAACAAGAAGCTGTTAGAATTAAATTTGAATTAGTAAGAATGCTACGAGTAGCGATGCCAGGAGCCCCGTTCGTAGCGTCCTTGCTCCTACTCCCCCCCCTCGCAGGGCCTAGGTTTCGCTTATATACAGTTCGTCAAAATGCGTTTTGATTCGATCTTGTGGGGGGCTTGGCCCCCAAAGAAGAACGTGCTTGCCCCCATGTTGATCATGAGATGTCTTGGAATTTCTCGGATCGGTGAACATCCGTTGGTTCCTGCTTTTCATACACTTTCACCCCGAGCCCTCCGTGGCACTGAGAAGAACTCCGTGCTCTGAGAACTCCGGTGGGAAAAGAACCTGGGCCGGTCCCGGTGAGGCTGCAGAACTCAATTGGCTTGGGACACGGATCAATCGTATATGGGATCGATCGTATAGTTTAGGTGGGAGGCCATCGCTACTAGGTTGGGAGACCCCCGAGTCCCCTCGCCGGGTAGACCGGGTCGACATGGAACCGAACCCACGGGGGAAAAGAAGATGTTAGAAGGTCCGGGAGGTTGGCACACCCGTAGTAGTAAGTTCTTGCTCCTAGTAACGATGCCCTTTGTTCCTAGTAGCGTTCTTGCTCCTACCCCCAGCGGCCTTACTACATGGGCCATGTTGGGCCTGTAGGATCGGCCGTTGCGATTCGGCGATTTGGGAGTCATTTTGGTGACCCATGGGCGTTCTTGCTCCTAGTGGCTTCTTGTTCCTAGTAGTAAGGCCAGGAGCCCCTAGTAGCGTCCTGGGAGCGATACCCTTTGCTCCTAGTAGTGTGGCTCCCGTTTTCCTTTTTGCGGGGACAGATTCATTTTTGACTAGACATCCATGCCACTGCGGGGCCTTTGTGGATGGATGTGGAACGGCCAAGCAGGCCTAACATGAACTCCACTTCAAACTTTTGCTAGAAAAATGTAATATGAGAAACACATTGAGACACCACATTTTTTCACACCATCACACTAATCTGGTCGCTGAACCAGCTCCGCGACCAAACCGTACCCAGCTCAAGCGCGGCACCGTCCACTGAGTCGTCGAACCACAGGCCGAGCGCTGAATCGTCCGCCTCAGCTTTTGCTCGGCCAGGGAGGTCCCACCGAGGGCCGTTTTCGCCTTCAGCCGCTTTGGTCTCCGGCGCCATGAGCGGGCGGTGGCAAGAGCTAATGCGGGACGTGGAGCAGGAGTTTGAGCACATGCAGCGGAGCCTGAGGAATTTGGATTCTTGGAGAAGGGGCGGTTGGAGGCCTTACTACTAGGAGCAAGGACGCTACTAGGGGCTCCTGGCATCGCTACTGAGCAAAGATGCTACTAGGAGCAAAGGGCATCGCTACTAGGAGCAAGAAGCTACTAGGGCTTACTAGGGGCTCCTGGCCATCGCTCTTGGGTTGGAGGCCATCCTTCGAGAACCAATGAGAGGATGTAGTGGTGAAGTTTCGATCTTGGCAGCTTGACCCAAGAAAGGGTAAATAGGTGCAAAACTGGCTGGGCAGGATGCCTGACATTTCCAGCTTTACATTTGATAGCCCGTGTGGACGTGTTTCCCTTGCCCTTTCCCTTGAGTGCTTCCTCCCACATTTTCCCTATATACAGCAGCCAACTTCGAACGAGACAGGGGGCTTTCCCACCCCGCCGCCACCACCTGTGCGGTCGATTCGTTCGTTTCCACCGGCGGTCGTGGTACGCCCATTTCTGCAAACACCGTTTGCGGTCGTGGGAGCTCGACGCGGTCGGCCATCCCCTGAGGAAGCGCAAAACCAGAGGCTTCGTGAAGCTGTTGGCCATCCATCGCTCGAAGAGGCGATCAGCTTGTCGTTGAGGCCTTCGCGCATCAAGAAGGCAGAGAACAGCTGGTCGCCTGGCAGGAACAACGAACTGTTAGGAACTGAGGGTAGCCTGGCGAACGCGGAGTGAACACGTTCCGGGTATCGTGAAGTTTTGAGAACAGACTGTTTTGTGAAGGTATGTTCAATGCTACTTATTCTACAAGCCGACAAAGCCAACTTGACTAAATTCCTTGCCTTGCCAGTTTTTCCAAGATCATTTCAATTGAAAGTTCCTTTGAAAATTTGAAACGTTGACGGGGAAGACGGTATGACCCGACCAGACGGTTCGGACTCGACCCGACACACGTGGGACCTGCCACGAGGTCCTTAGTGTTAAGCAGTGCCGGATTGGCCAAGAAGGCGGGGACACGCATGACACGTGCAACTGTACAAGGGCAGGAGCAAGGACGCTGGCCTTACTACTAGTAACAAGAAGCTACGAACGGGGCTCCTGGCCTTACTGCTAGGAGCAATGTTCGCTACGAACGGAGCAAGGACAGGTTGAAGGAGAGGTCTGTTGGGTCCAGTCTGATCGTTGGGCCGCCCTTCGATTTCAGGCCTGTCAACCTGAACTCGGGAGCTCGGAAGTGCAGCGCGACACCGAGCCGAGGGTCTCAACCTGCCAGGAGATGCTTCCCTTCACCTCGCCACCCGTGGTGATGAAGAGTGTGTCCTTCAACATGTCCACGCAGTCCACGCTCGAAGAGGCACCCGAGGAGGCGAAGAAACAACGCTCAGAACGGCCGAAGCACGAGTCATCTCTCGGCGGGGCATGGGGCCGGCATGGGGGGTCACCTGGAGGGGTACCTGGTGCCTTGTGAATCCTGGTGCCGCTATGGGAACTGACATCGTGGATCCCATTTTTTTGGGGATTCATGTTCAGCAACAGGACTCGATAGGTACGGGGTAGGACATACTCAGACTATGTTTTTTGTTCCAGACATGCAAGAGCTATGGCAGCTTGTGCAGAGTGATGGAAATACGTTCAGAGATGTGCGTTGCTATAAATACATCCATCCCCTGCAGGACCTTTCTGATTAATTTCCGAAATGTATTCGGAGGTATAGCTGATTAGCATCCATATTCATTCAGGGAGTCTGCAGGGTATGAGAACCCCTACGTCCCATCCCCGCATCCTGGGGCATCGTGGGGGCGCATCAGGGGCGATGAAGACACCAAAAAACTGGATGCACATCCGATGGTTTGATTTGTTTGGATAGTACCAAAAAACTGGATCTTTGTGATAGAAAACAAGAAGCTACTTAGGAACAAAGGGCATCGCTACGAACGGAGCAAGGACGCTACTAGTGTTTGTGATGATTCTACCAAAGACACTGGATCACCTCCAGTGGATGGACTTCCACCGGCGAAATCCCTTGGCGAATCCACTGATTTTTCTCCGCTCAATTCTCGAATGGAGGGTTAGAAGACCCGGGTGGGCAGAATGGTCCAAGAATTCAGTCCATCAGTGCGTCTCTGCTAAAGGGCCAGGTGCCACGCTAGTAGTAACAGGTGCCTTCCTAGTAGTAACAAGAAGCTACTAGGAACAAGTGCCACGCTAGTAGTAACTTATTAAGATCAGGGCCAGATCGAACGGACGAACTCCGGTTCTGATCCGGTCTTCCGGTGACAACAAGCCAATCAAAACCATCCCGACGGACTCACAGCATTCCCAACCCCAATTTCCGAACATGGTCTTCCGAGAGCTGTTTTTACAGCAATTGGAGCTGAACATCTACTTGAGGTTTTCTTCTTCGTGGTGTTTCCCAGAAGATCGATTTTTCAAGGGTTTGTCGGTGGGTGGCTGGGTTCGGACCAACTCGGACAGCGCTGGAGAATCTTTGGATGAATATTTTTTTTTTTTTTTTTTTTTTTCGGTGGCTGGTGCCTGGCACCAGGGTATCATAGACCTGAGATTGGTCCTATTTGGGGCATCCAGTTACCAGATGTTACCATTGGTTCCGTAATTCTATCATACTGCGATCCACTGGGGGTGTCTAAACGCGGCTCCACCGACAGCGGCTCCACCGCGTTCCGAACGAAGAGACGCTCCAACCGATCCCTGCAAGGAGAAAGCGCCGTCCCCTTCGCACGGCATTCTGAAGAAGAAAGGCACCAGCCGCGGCTTGGCGACATGACGAATCAGCAGATTTAACAAGTCCCTCACCTAGAAGGCTTTGTTACTAGTAGCTTCTTGCTACTAGTTACTAGTAGTAATGGCCATGGCCTCCAAATGGCCTTCAACCTAGAAGCCTTTATTACTCTATACTATAGATTTACCGGTCGTCCCTCACCCTTTTGGGTCGTCCCGAAGCCTCGGTTTCGGGTCGGGCGACGGTTGAGGCGTGGCTCCTGAGATTGAGATCAACGACAACCTCATCTTGCGCTCAGCGTTCGGTCGGAGCAAGGCACCGGCGGGGGAGCTTTGTGGGGTCACACCGTGTTTGGTACCCTCGAAGCCCGGTCTCACGAAACAGCTTCCATCAAGGTCTCATGATGTGTGATGTACAGCTTCACAGACGTGATGTCCTGAAAAGATGCCACTTGAGCTTTGTGCCATCTCTCCGGGGGGGGGATAGGAAGCTACTAGCAACAAGTGCCACGCTAGTAGTAAACAGGTGCCTTACTAGTAGTAACAAAAAGCTACTAGAAACAAGTGCCACGCTAGTAGTAACAGGTGCCTTACTAGTAGTAACAAAAAGCTATTAGAAACAAGTGCCTTACTACCGTGCCTTAGGGTAGCCGGAAGCCGCTCAAAACCCGTTTCTTCCGCCTGTGAAACAGCAGCCGAACTCGCAGGAACCGGACGCCAGGAGCTGCTAGTAGCTTCTTGCTACTAGTAGTAATGGCCTCCAACCTAGAAGCCTTTGTTACTAGTAGCTTCTTGCTAC